TAAAATTAATTTTAAATTGTCCTTGTTTTAAAAATACTTTTTCTATGTATAGCACTCTAAATACACAATATACCCACAGATGTGTGCTTACAATGACATTTATGGTTTCATAAATAAGTGTGCATATAAACATTTCCAAATGTTCATCTCCACACCAGATGTGGTGGATGGTTCTCCAGCTGCCTGACATTTCAGCAATGAACACCGGAAAGGACCGGAAAGGTGTGCTTTGCCCGGGAGTGAGGAGAGAGGGGAGGAGGGCCCTGCCCCCACTCCCCGGCTCATGGCCAGGGGTTTGCCCCCGGGCCCAGCGCCCCCCGCTGAGGAGGGCGGCAGCGCAGCCGCTTGGGGAACTCAGGGAGTGCCCCGCTCCCGGGCTGCCCACTAGGCCAAGTTCACCCAGAGAGGACTGAGATCTGAGAGAAACGGCCAGACAGACACCAGGTCAGTGAAGATGGAACGGGACGAGGTGTGCCGGACCTGAGTTTCCCCTGCAACCGGTGGCGAGACGGCAGCTGCCTCCTGCAGCCAGGATGGACTCAGTGGAGCAGAGACCCACTCGCAGCCCATGGAGAAGCCCACGTCGGAGAAGAGATGCCAGAGCCTGAGGACAGTCGTGAAGCATGGGACTCACGACAAAGTAGAAACACATCTAGAGTCCGTGGGACGACCCACGCTGGAGCGAGTGGCAACAGCTCCCTAAGAATCTGAGACTGTGGTAAAAGCCCACACGGGAGCAATCCGATGGGGAAGGATTGCATCCTGCAGGTGGAACTCACGCTGGAGAAGTCTGTGGATTTTTCTTTGTGGGTAGAGGATCCACTGAAGCAAGGGAAAAGGGTGTAAGGACTCCTCCTCCTTTGAGAAAGGAGCAGCAGTAACAACATGGGATGAACTGACCTGTACTCCCCCAGTCCCTGTCCCCCTGCGCTGCTGCGGGGAGGAGGTAGAGCCGGGAACAAAAGGAAAGGGAGGGGGGCGGGAGGTGTTGTTTTTAAGATCTGGCTTTGTTTCTTTTTATCCTCTCAAGTAACTGGTTTCATTTGTCCTTATCCTTTTAATAAATTGCTTTGCTTTAAGAAAGCCGAGTCTATTTTGCCTGGGACCATGGTTGGTGGGTGCTCCCTCTCTGTTCTTGTCTCGACCCTCAGTCCCTTTATTATATTTTTCTCCTCTCCACTTTACTGGGGAAGGAGTGAGAGAGCGGCTGTGTGGACCATGACACTGACATTTCAGCAGGCAGCACTGGTCCACAAAGGAAGAACACATCTCAAAGTTTGGCTCCATGGCTGATGACACCACCGTTAAACTCAATCAAGGAGCAAAAGGAAGGCCAAAATCTGTCGTCTTTCTGGAGTCCTCAATCCTAAGAGAGGGTTTCCCCCTTTTCCTCTGTGGCCATCATTCACCATGGAGTTTCTCCATTTCAACAAGGAAGGAAGCTTCTCTCCATTCTCACCGGACTTCATGTGACAAGCATGAAAGGCTTAATTTGCACAAGGCCATAACAGCACCAGTGCTGTGCCAGTCAGTCAAACCCAAGGAAAGTGAGTCTGAGCATATGGCAGCTGCACTCTGGCAGGTTCTGGAGAACACTGATATGTATGACTTCTTGTGAAGCTGCCTGTACACAGATGTCCCCCTCCTTGTTGCTCCTGAAGCCTCAGCAAAATTCAGCTGAAATTTCTCAGTAAAATTATTTTTTCTTTATGTTGCCCTGTCATTAAGCACTTTTAACTCTTCAGCAACAGTAGCCTTCAATTACCCTCCAGGATTCAGGAACACCAATGAATCAACCATAGGGAGACAGACAGGGATGCTGGCCAGGGGCCACCCTTACTTCCTCTTAGACTCAAGTGTCCTAGTTCACACCTGTTTCTATACACAGATACCACATCAAGCATCGTATGCAATCAAGCCTACCCTTTAACCCACACCAATTTATGCCTGGTCACCTCCCAGTTGTATTTTGGGAACAGACCTAGTATTCATTATTGCTCCACCTATGCCTGGATTTTCACACAAAGGAAACGTGGGAGCCAGGGCAGAAGGCAGCCATAGGGAGGCATGGTGCTCTTCAAGAGGCTTCGCTGATGTGAACAGGCAGGAGCCCAGGGTCAGAGCTCAGGGTGCAAAGCATGTCACACCATAGTCTGAAGTCAAGCTAAGAGTTTAAAGCCTCCAAGTTTTCCTGGGAGCTCTAAAAACAGAGGAATCCAAAGAAACGTCCTCTGCAGAGGGAAGATCATCAACAGAAGACATCCTGCCCCTACTCACCTGCCTTCTCCCAAGACCTGGATTTCTTCCTATTCCCACTATCTTCCTAAAGTTTACCAGAAGGCTGCAAAGCCAGTTTTTGCCTCATAAGGCAAACAGCTGCTTTTAAGTATTATGTCATTAATTTCTTCATCAACAAGTGTGTAACTGCTCAACACCTCCTGGAAAGTTCTAATTCACCTATCTAATAAATCTTTAAAATTATATGGAGCATCACACACATTAATACTTACCGTTAAAAATACTTCCAGTGCAGATAGTAATCTGATTCAGAAGAATTTTAGTGACTGTAGGCTTGAAGAGGAAATTATTACTTTTATTGGTTCCTATGATTTCTTAAAAATGTTAATACAAAGGCAGACATGAGGAACTCTAGTTGGAGAGTAGCAGAGCCTCATCACACTCAATAAAACCTCTCCTGGGTGCAGTGTAACTGAAGTAATTCACAGAGAGCCCTTCCTGCAAATTCCTCCCCAAGGATTCCTATGGAAACCAGAAACACTAATTTAACTTTTCCCAACACACCCGGAATGTGGGTTGATCAATCTGTAATTAGAATGGGTGTGTTTTGTGAATGAATTTGTTGTTATAATTAGATCTGATTCTTAAGACAAAATATAGTTGTAAGTATTTTTACCAGTAGCGGGTTTGTTTCTCTTTCAAAGCCAAGCCTAGAAAAAAAAAGTCTCTGACGAATGTTGAGACAAATTTACTAACCTCGGTTCCTCAGTAGTAGTATTTATATGACTAGAAGTTCACTGCACAAGGCAATGCAGGAAAGAACAGTAAACACAGGAAGGGAGCAAAGGAAAGGGAAATAATGGACTTCAACTTTTTGGTGGAGACATTACATCATTTGCTTTGAAATGTATCTATTTCACAGCCAGAAGAATATCAGCCAGCTCCAAGATAAGGAACACGTTTGTTTAGAGAATAAATCTAGTTCAGATTTCATCATAATGTCAATATTTGCTGTATTAATATTACAGTTCCTCTCAGCTAATACTCAGTAGTTAATAATATGTTTTGTGCAAAGGGAAAAGATCTTCTGAATGAACTATGCATATCACCTGGGAATTGCTGGGTTGGGAACACCGTTCACTCCACTTTTGGAAGGTTCCTTGATAGCAGGGTGCAAGCAGATAGAAATAGGTCTTCAACTGGCAGCAATCAGTTGACTTCCACCTTTTAGGGCTTTGTTTTGGGCTGGTTTTTTTTCAAGATTTTAGTGCCAAACCTGACAACTGGGACAAATTATCAGGCTCCTGTCAAAAACTGCGGACAGTCCAGCCTCACCATTGCAGGCTACTGCAGCAGACTTTATGCAGAGACTCATCCCTGTCCTATGTCAAGATATGGACTGGTGCAAGGTCACGCTCTGGTGACCAGCGTGCTGGGGCTGGGCTCTGGCCGCAGATGCTTGAGGAGTCATTGCTGAAGGCAGAGGGGCAGCAGACAGTGAAGCTGCTACATGGACATTACGGAAGTGCTCGAGACATTGCAGATGGAATGCGTGGTTTTGACCAGCACTAAAATCTTGAATCTCTGGACTAGATAATGGGGTTATACTTCATTAAATTTGGGCAGAAGGTAGAGAGGGACTTCCTTAAACATAACTCTTAAGAAATACAAGTTTCTATAGGCCCAAGTAGCAATTTGCCAATTGCTACTCTGCTAAGCCCAAAATAAGCAGATGACCTCATGGTTGGCTGCTTTCTGTACGTTTTCTACACGTTTACTGCAATGCATGCTGTCCAGGGCAGCTGTGTCTCTCCAAAGGAAGCACATGTTTCTGCAGAGCACATAGTTACGACCACGTGGTATTCAGCAGCATCCACTCCCACTCACCCAGCTCACGTGCGGTGTGTGGGTTTGTCCTATTGTTTCTGCTGTCCCTAATATACACATAAATGACTTGGAAAACTCATAACTCATTATTCAGCAGCAGCTCTCCCTGTAGCCCTTGAAGAGGTGGATTAATCATGCCTTCTGACACTGCATTTACCATTGCTGGGTGATGACTTCGTGATTGATGACTCACGGATCTGCTCCAAGGGAGTAACCTCCCCTTTGTGAACCCTCGGTTTGCATCTCCATTGTGCCCTGGCCCAGAGCTTTCTATCCGTGCCTCCGGTATTCTTCCACATAGGTCTCTGCATAATCGTGCCCTCCTCATGTTAGTAAAGTGGATCTCACTGATAGCTACAGTGATCAAAGCTACTGCCCACCGTGTTATTGACTGTCCTTCGGATCTTGGCATTCTGCAGGAATCATAACCTATGAGTTTGACTAGCTGGCTTAGACTACCGTTCCCTTATCTGTTCTGTCAGCTGTGCCATGTGTGGCCCAGCGTGGCAATCCCCATGCTGTGCAGTGAGTTCAGGACATGCAGAGCAGGTCTCCAGACCACCATCCTCAGCAGTGTACAGAACAAATGGAACTGTCATAATTCACAGGACAACAAAGGCCGATCATTTTCTGCCTGAATTGAACATTTCTTTACCAAGTTCCATGACTCATCAAGCAGAAAACAATCCAGATGATTCTGTTTATTGTCAATAGCAGTTAATTCTCCTTATTTCAAAATTGTTCTTTATTTCAGTAAGGTTCCTAGTAATGCAAATGTCATTCAGCTTTAATCAGAAAAAAACATGTTATGTGCACAGGTTTGGCAGGGAAGTGCTCCTTTCTGCCCAAAAATTAATTCTGAATTTGCATAATACTCTCTGTGAACAAATTATGTTTTTATTAGCTTTATAGAATGCACCTCCCATCTACCAAAAAGATGGTTACTGAAAGCACAAGAGATGATAGAGAATAAAATTAAACCTAACATTCAAAACAGTAAAGAGTATTTCTACATATTAACATTCATACCAAGCTTAAAATTAGTACTATTTGGATCACAGACCACTATTGAATGCCATGGCAAAGAAACTATATAAGCAATGATAATTACCATTTAAAAATAGTTAACAATATGAATTGGAAGATTTAATGTTTTTTCTTCTTTTAATGTATAGCCCCATTCCCAGAATTTCACTGGACCATGCGGACAGACCAACTGTCACAGCTGTCTATCAAGGCTGAATTAGATGAAGACAAACAATACAAGCTTTGTGTTCAACTGAAGCAGCAGCCTCAAAAGTTTCCATTTCTCATCCGAGGGCACTGTGGGAGCATTGTCTTCTCCCTCTCTGAAAAGAGAATTGAACAATTATGTTACTGAAATTCCTCCTCAGTGGGTCTGAAAGACTGTTTAGGTCCCATCAGGGAGACGGGAAAAACTAAAAGCAGGGATTTCATGACAGCAGGTGGGGGGAGTTTCAGGGTATATACTTCAGTGACATAATGGTCCTGATTCTTCTCTTTTGGGGTAAAGCCAGTGCTGGAAGATTTACTAGCAATGGAGGAAATGCAATAAAAATGCAAAGTTAAATGCAGTGGTAAAATTATTAACTTGAAACAAAGCTTTACAATTGGTTTCTGAATCAATCAGGCAATTGATTCTAACACGGAGAGCATGGTGGTAAACTAGAAAAGAAAATATACCAGTCACAGAGAAATTTTTACTGTTTATCATTTTAGGGGCCCTAACAATTGAAGTGCTGAGTACGTGGCTCTCATGGGAGTCAGGTGGGCTCAGGAGATAGGAAGCCATCACCCAATTTGTCCCTCCTAATGGCAGTAATATTCTTATTCATTAGAAGCAGGGATAAATCAATACTTGGTTTCCTGCAAATACATATTCATGTACTTCAGCGAAACCTTTGGAAATCAGCTACTCAGGTTGCCTCAGCGCTTCTTAGTTCAGAAGTAGTAGGTATGAGAGTGCCGGATCATTTCATTCTGTTGTACTAATAAGCTCATTTTTTCCTGAGGTTATTTTAGTGCCAACTATAGTTCAGTACATGCACACAAAAAATCTGTCAGTGCTTGGGAGCAAATGGTCACCTGGGGCTACAACTGCTTGCAAGGTCAACACATCTCTAGTGAGTTCCCACTCTTCTTAAAGAGGAAGGGAGCGTAGAGGCTGTCAGTCACCAGCAGTGCTGTTAAGAAGTCAGTGTCTACTCACAACAGTCTGTGCCATGATTTCCACGTGTGCCTTGGTTCCCACCCAATACCCCGAAAAGTAACGGTGTTTGGCAGCAGGACCATTTGATGGTCAACTTGGAGAACTTTTTACCAGTTGCCCTCAAAGGGAGGCTGTAAGTCCTTCACAGAGTGATTAGTTTTAGCCATAGTTACACTTTATGTAACAGCACAGAGGATTCCCAGTTCTTCCCAGGGTTTGGTATAAAGGTGTAAGATAAAAAAAAAAAACACATGTAATAAGAACAAGTTATTCTTTGGCTCTGGAAAAATTCTTGGCATGTTTTTCAGTGGGCTGCTGATATGAGGGTCTAGGCACCAACACCCTCCCTGAAATGAACGGAAAGGTTCCTGTTGCATGGACAGAAGATACTGGATCAGGGAATTAGACTGAAAAATCAGAGCAAATAAGATGAAAGGAAACAAAAAACTTTGTGTTCTTAAGGTTCTGTGTAGGCAAACTAATGCTGTGACAGTGGCACTTTCTCAATCTCAATTAGTGCTAAACTAATTAATGAAACTGTTTTATACACTGCAGTGAGTAGTATCTCTCATCTTTCTTAGATAATCCCTAGTGTGATGTAAGAGTGATTGAGTATCTAATTACTCCTTAATTGAATGCACGTTTTGTACATTTTTCACTAGTTCAAGCTTAATGCTTTTGGTCCAAAAATCAAAGTCAGTGAAATGAAGTTGAACTGGGATTTGGGTAGCTATTGTATTCATGGATTACTTTCAGAAAGGAGCCTAATTATGAGCCTGTCTAAAGATTTCAGCTGTGTTTGTTATAGAAATATTTAACGTATTGTCTGACAAAAGACTGATTCTATATATTGGTAGTGTTCTTATTCATGTTTACCCTTTATTCTTATTTAAGACTAATTTTTTTACCATGCTAAATTAATAGCACTATTCCGTAATATACATGGTCAAGTAACACATTATTCAGGCTAAAGGTTTATGTAGATATGAAGATACTTGCTCCTCTTACTCTTCTGAAAAGATTTTGGAAATGCAATATTTGAGCTACAATTGTACAAATGTGCATGTGTATTATAACCAGAAAATTACCTAGATCCTTTGATTGCTTATGCATTATATTTCTGCCTCTAAATTTCCTTTGCTTGTGTTGAGTCCTACATATATTAAATAGAGTCCCACTGTCCCACTGCTTCTGATGGAGTCCTCTACCGATCAGACAATCATCCCCAAAGAAAAGCTTTCAAGATCAGTGCCATAAAGTGTAAATACCTGGGAGATCTAAGAGCTATTATAACAAAACCCACGGTTTAAAAAAAAAAAAAAAAAAAAGAAATATTATCAAGGTCAATCAAAATTCAGAAATCATCCTCAGAACGTAAAAAAAATCATTATGTTTCCAAGAATATTTATTTCTAATTCTTTCATATAATAATTTTAGGTACTTACATTCCTCACAGAAAACAAATATTCTCGTACAAAACTGGGATAAATGCAAGACTGTAACTTTACCTCAAAAACAAGGAGCGGCGGCAGGAGCAAAAATAGGGCCAAGATGGTGTATTTTTAAGAACCAAAGGTCCCAATGTTCCCATAGTAACAGACAGAATACATTTAAAAGAGAAGATATAAGAAAACTTCAGTGAAAAGGATTATTTTTCGAAGTCTTCCAAAAGTTTTGAGACAGTGCAAATAAACAGACTATGGAAAAATGAAATAGGGTGACCACGATAATATGTCTTTCCATCTGATAAGGAGGAAATTAGATGCTCCACTGAAGCAGCCTTAGGTCAAGATCACTACACAAGATCAAAAATTTTCTTCAGCTACTTAAAAGTAGTCAATCTGCTTTGTGGAGAGCTTTTCCACCTCTTTGTCTTACCATATTCCTTACCATTATTGTCTCATACAATGTCTCCATTTTTTCCTTGTAGAAGCATCTTGCCGCCTTCTCCTTAACATTAGGTTAAACCAAAAAACTTAAGAAAGGCCATGGGTGGCAAAACCCCTTTAACACTGACTACATATTACCATTATCCTGCATTTTCCTAAAAACAGCACTTGAAAAGTATGGTCAGGCATGGATTCACAGTGTCTCAGAAAAGAGAACTATTTACCTTAGGAATCCCTATCTTTCCTGAAACCTTTTGCATTCCTTCCATGAAAAGGTCACAATTTGTTGAATCTACATCTAGTTCTGCGGGCATTTAAAAAAATCTAGCTAACTAAAGTGTACCTTTCTTTCTCTTGAGCTCTGGGAACGCATAAAAATCTTTTTAAAATTACAGAAAGTTTTGCTTTGTAGCACTGCTCTGTCATAAACTGTGGTGTTAGTCATACCACGTTGCTGACAACAGACACTGCTGGCACTCTCTTCCTTGAGTGACAATTATCAGTTGCGAAAACATTTTCAGTAACCCAAATAACTTGGTCAGTTTCATTTGCTATGTATTTTCAAAACATTGCTGTCTGCTGAGTAAGAGTTTATTTGCATACTTTCATCGCAGTGTTTTCATCCATATGAAAGAATTAGAACCACAAATTCTGTAACTACCTGGATCCTCAGTTCCAATGGAGTAATAACGTTCTGCTTAAAACTCCTGTGTGATTTCATCTAGGTAAACCAGTGTACTCCTGCTGCCTAACATGTGTAACATTGCCAAAGAAGGAACGCACATTGTAGGCTTTCTTCTCTGTCTGTGGTCAGATACGTGTACCTGTATGTCCTTTTAATATCCCTGACATCTGAGAGCTGTTACATTACTATATTCTACATGTACTAATTTAGAGTCTCTATATTTTAAATAACAGGTGCAATTTTATCAAAGATCATTTACGCTTCCTACCATTTTGTCTCACCACTAATTTGCAGCATCTTCCTCATACGTGAAAATAACATGGTGGAGTTTCAGTGTGTGTTCAGACTCCAGGTTTTGTGTTGAAACTTCCAATAAACATGCTGTGAGGGTATTTTTTATGACAGGCACTCCCAGCTACATTATCACTTCCCAAGTAGCAAGGTAGAAACTATACATGGTTTATGGTAAGCAGCTGGAAATTATACTCTCAAAATGCTCTTCATAAAAAAGCCGATTATAACAGTGCATTGTGGATAGCAAAGAATGTGTGATGCTGACACAGAGTCCCAGGTCACAAAATCTGGGAGCCCTTTTCAGCATGAAGCATCCTATTCAAAGCATAAGCAGGGGTCTAATTCCTAGGCTACCTTATGGGTTTTCAGCTTTGAAAAAAGCAGCACAGTATTTTGTTTCTTCCTTGCTTCTTCTTTATATGCTAAAGGATTTCAACTGTTGCTAAAGAAATGGCAAACTGTTTGCCATTCCTCCACCAATATTTGTGTATTTCTAAGACGAGTTCAGTAAAGAATTGAACAAGGACAATTCCAATATAGCACTCATTCTCAAAACAGCTACAGCTCAAAGTGGTTTTCTTCCTCATTTAGGGCTTGATCACTCCCTATACTGATGCTCTGGCCCAGACACAGCATAAATTTCTACTACAGCAGTGACCAGTCTATGACTCTTGGGCTGCCTGTGGCTACTAAACCCCTAAACTGTGGCTCCTGTGTCAGAAGTGTGCCACACACAAAACAAGTGTTTTGCCACACACTAATTCCAATCTTTAGCAGTGGGAAAACAAGTTAGGCTGACTTTACACAGTTCACTTAAAATTTCAGTTCATACCCCATTCCCTCCTTTTACAACAATGTAGTGGGAAGTAACTTTAAAAGGCACTATCTTTCAGCCAGTCTTGAAGCTCTTGGTCCTCTGAATGCTCCAAAAGTTTTGGTATGTCCCCAGAAGATTTCTGATTACAGTGCGTGGTTCACAAGCCAAAGGTGTTTGGCTCTCTGTCCTATAGTCATGCACTCCAATGTAAGCACATTCTCAAGTACTCTGAAGTGGCAGCAGAGTGTTGGGCACTATACATAAGCTCTTAAAAACAGGAGAACAATAGTCAGTTTTGTCGATAACATGAAGTTGAGTTTCTTTCAAAGACTGAAACTGAACAATTAAACTGACCACCTTTTAAGTACAAAACCTAAACTCATGGAGACAAACAATGACCGAGGAAAAATCACTTGCTGAGAAGCAGCATAAAT